GCCAGTGCCTTAATGCCAGCTGCATTCAGTTTTAGGAAAATCCTCTTTTGGAAATCAAAGTAAACTTACTGAATGTGAGGTTTGGGTTGTTTTTTTGGTCTGGTTTTGTTTTGGTTTTGTCTTGAATACATCCGTCTACAGTTCTGCAATTAAATCTCTGCATATCTAAATCAAAGTGGCTTCATTTCCACAGGCACTATGCATAAATTCATGTTCACATGTGACATGAGAAAGCTCAGAGCTTCTAAAATTACAGCATGTGATCCAGGTGCCCTGATAAATTTTTAAATACTTAACTTTCCAGTATCTCTCTTTGAGTGTTGTGACCTAGATCATTAGACACAAAAAGAGCCACGAAGAGAGCAAATCTAAGTCATCTGAAAGATTTAACTGATGATGGTTTGCTCTAAAACACCACACAAACTGCATCAGGTCAGCTCATAACTTGAAAGCTGTTTTTCTACGAAGCAGAGGGACAGAAACTTCATGACACATCCCAAAATAAGCAGTCCACACTCATCCATCTGAATCCTAAGATGTCAACATAGCCTACAACTTGCCTATTTCTTTTAACTGGTGTATGCTAATTTTCACCTCAGTCCTCTCTTGAGATCACAGGCTGGCTTGCTGAGGTCTTCACCCTGAACAGAATCACAGAGGCAGGTCCAAGCACCCACTGGGAGGTCCTGTGAAGTCTGCACACACCTGCGCTGGTCTCCGATGAGTATAGAGCAGGATGAAGAACACCGTACAACATGCTTTTCACTAAACCACCTCACTGCAGGGATTAGATATGTGCACCTATCAGGCTATAAACACCATCAAGTGCTGTTTCTCTACAAATACAGGGCTCACCCAAAGACCGACCAAATTCAAGTTAACACCTGGAACTCTAACTCTGCTACCTCAATCTTGAAATTTGAAGTGCTGGGATTTAACCATTTGTAAGGCTCAACGTTGAGCACAGTCTTTTGCACAAAGTTGTGCCAACTCTATTTTCATGCCACATCTGCATAAGTTTCTATGGTAAATACCTATGAGAGTAGAACACTGCTCAGCAATCCACTCAGTTTTCAAACGAGAGCTTCTTTGCTTCCAGCTATCTCCAGGGACAAGGGCAACAAGTCTGCCAGCTCACAAAGGTGAGGGAGAAGCAGCACACCTGAAAGGTGTCAAAACAGTAGCTCTCTCCATCGGACCTGAGTACTGGCTACCTCCCGAGCTCAAGGGAAAAACAAGAGTGAGGGAAGAACATTGATGCAAACAAATACTATGGGACAATGATGACAGCTCTCCCTCTGCAGGCAGAAAGTACCTCAAGTTACCTGTTACGCTCATAACTTCTGTGGTGAGGTGATATCCTTCCTCTGTCATAATCTGTCCGGTGCCGACTGCTTTCCTGTCTCCTCCTATCTGGACTCCGGCCTCGATCCCGACGATCCCCATGGTTAGTGGACCGATGCCTGTCACTGTGGATGTGAGCATGTTCACGATGTCGGTGCTCGTCATAGTGCTTGCTCCTGTCTGGAGATCGTCGATCACTTTGCGACTTCTCTCCCTGGTACTGACTCGTGTGCCGAAAATGGCTGCTGCCACCACTGCTGTTGGTAGCGCTGCTCGGAAAGGAGCCAGAGTTGTGCTGATAGCTATTGAAGTTTGGTGGCGGAAACGATTGCTGTGAATACCCTGCGGAGTACACAGGCTGGTAGTTGACTTGCTGTGGTATGACTGGTGGGGGGGGAGGATGCGGTACCGTGGGAGGAGGCATCATGTAAGGAAAGGTGCTTTGCCCAGCAGGAGTTCCTGGCACAGGAGTGTTGCTAGGATTTGGCACTGGCGGAGGAGCAGGAGGGAAGCATGGGGGCACTGGGAAGCTCTGCCTCATCTGGTGGTTTGGAAATGGTGGCCTCATGGGACACTGGCTGATGGGATTTTGTGTGGAAGGGGGCACTGGAGGAGGATAGGGCACAAAGTCTGGCCTGGGAGGCATGTAACCAGTGGTTGGAGGATTTGAATAAGTTGTTGGAGGGGCAGTTTGCTGGTCATACTGGTATTGTACAGAAGGCTGTTGCGGGTGAAGCTGCCGTAGGTTCTGAGGGCGGTAGGTCTGTGTTGAAGTTCTTGCTCCTGGTCCCCCCTGACCACGGGGACATCCTCGCCCGGAATGGAAAGACATGGTTCACCTTTAATGGAGAAAATAAAAGTCCAGTGTCACACAATTTTTGTAGGATGTCCTTAATGCATTTGCAGGAACTACTCCCAAAGCACTGAAATTACAGTTTCTGCAGCTTCCTTTAACAGAAGCAGTGAACGATGTCCACTGACTTTCACTGGGATCTTTGTGCTCCTTGGACCTCTAGTGCAGGTCATTTATGCCCCTTTTATTCCTTTAAGCCTGTAATCCACGAAAGCACTCTACTGTCTTTAATCCAGAACCCAAACTGGACCATGCTCTCTGACTTAGGGCAAAGTTAATTTCAACAAATGATTGATACAATGACTGGCCAAGGATACTAGCACCACTACTAGTACTCACTAGACACTTTGATATAAAGCCTTCAGATACCCCATACCAAAGAAACCACTCACTCTAACAACTGCAATTGTCATCTAAAGTCCCCCAACGAGGACTTTCTAGAACATGATTCTAAACTTCAGGCAGAATGACTTTACTAACACCTCATTGCAAGTTACCTGGTCCAACAAATCATGCAAATGTTAAACGAGATAGCAGCAATTTACATTCACAACTGAGACCCCAATTTAGTAAAGGACTGAACACTTCAAAGTATTTTAAGTTAGGCAGGTACAGATTTGTGGAATGAGAATCTTACAGGTTACAGAAAAAAAAATTTATGTAGACTCTGCTGTTACTCCAATTTCATTGAAATAAGTGGTTCCCAAAACATCCCTCAGCTGCCTGCCTGCCTAGCCCTGTTACCTTTCCAGCAATTGCCACTGCTTCAAGTAGGCTTAAGTCTTGCTCAAAACTAGGCATGTTATTTACTACATTGTATCAATGTTTATAAATGAAAACCACTGTGCTTCATTAAGTTAAAATTCATTCTTTAATTACAGTGTTACATTTCAAGAACTGGAAAAAAGGAAAAAAACATTTAAAATAAATTAAAAAAAATCATTCATGTTGTCTTGGCTGGAATGGAGGGAGAGGAAAAAATAATCAGTTAAGAAGTCGCAGAAGTGAAATCCTGTTTTCCATAAGGGGGAGAGAGAAAGAAAGGAAAGACACAAACGTAATTGGAAAGATCACCAGATAAATAAAACAAAGCCTACCTTTTACTGCCTTTTACTAAGGCTTTGCTAATGCTGAAGTACAGGCACAGAATATTCTCCCACCTGCTACCATGCAACATGGCCAACCTGGACTGCTCAGAGCACTGCCTTCAGCTGCATTCTGGTGCCAGTGCTGCAGAAGATGTAGCTTGCTGAGAGACAGCAGATAGCTTCTGGTGAACCAGAGGGAGAAAGGAAAAGAAATGAAGGGGGAAAGAACTGACATCAGAGGAGGAACCATGAGCACCCTAAGTCTCTTCTTATATACACAGGCCTTAGTGGAAGCCACTGGAACTGGTGGTGGTGGTGGCATTCATTCCCTCTCCAGAGCAACCAAAGGCCAAAGTGAGAATCCTGCGTTTCTGGGAGGTAGCGGCCGTGATGGCAAAGCCACTTGTTCCTTGCAGTCAGCCTGTGCCTGACCAGTACCCTCCAGTCTTGTAAGAGCTCTCAAAAAGAAACAATGGGGCAGGGGGAGAGGGGAAAAAGCCCATTTGCATTATTTTGTCTGGCAACAGCGCAACCTTTTGTCATTATTAATTCTAATGCATTAGATGCTGAACCAGTTTTGTTTTAGTTCTCCAGTCATGATCTTACACAGCTCAGGCTTGTACTAGAAAACTGTTTTATACTTTGCTGGTATTTACATACATGTTTTATTTAAACAGGCTGCGCTAAACTCTTACTACCTTAAACAACTTAAAGCAAAGACCACTGTATCACAGCGCCTTGCCTTAAAGCCATTTCTTTTTAACATGTCATAGCATTCGAACAAAAGGTCTTGCTTATCAGCTCTCTCAAATAGAGCTCTAAGTCTTCCCCAACTCCAGAGAACTGCTCTGGTTCTACCACCTTAATTTCATTGCTTCAGAGTGCACAGAACCACTGCCGCAAAAAAACCCCAAAAAATAGATGAAATTATTTTCAACACCCAAATTATTTTAAAGCTCCCTCTGCTGCAAACTTCGGTCACGTTCAAGTTTTCATTTAAATTTAAGTAAGTACAAAAACACTGGAAGGGACAAACTCTCCTTTTCCCGTCGCCTAGGACGGGAAATTTATTGCGCGGGTGGAAGCCGTCACACAGAAGTAACAGAGGTTCCTTGAAAAACGCCGGGAAAACTCCTCGCCCCGCGGACGCGCAGCAGAGAGCAACAGGGCACCGAGACCCGGCCTCATGCCACCGCCGCCTCGCAACGGCCACCGAAGGGTCGGCGCAAAACGGAGGGGAGACCGGCGCCCGCCGGGGCAGGCTCTCCCGCGCCGCCTTCCCGCTCCCCACACGGGGAGCTCTCCTGGGCCGCAGGCCGGCCGG